ATGATCCAATTTGCTCCTGCAGGGGGAAAAATTCCTTCCTGATCCCCTAAGAGGCAATCGGATATTCCCTGGATCAACTTTACCTATAAATGTTAATATCCAGTTATATTCTGTGTATCTAAGAAATAATCCAGGCCTTTTTTAAAGCAATCCACTGAGCTGGCCAGAACCAACTCTTGAGGGAGTCTATTCCACATTTTCACAACTCTCACTGTGAAGAAACCTTTCCATGTTTGGAGATTAAATTTCTTTTCCTCCAGAGTGAGTAAAGAGTGTCCCCCTTGTGCTCTGTGATGACCTCAGGGTGAATAGCGCTACACCGAGTTCACTATATGAACCACTGATGTATTTATACATGTTGATCATATCCCCCCTTAATCTCCTCTTCTCAAGAGAGAATAAATTCAGTTCCTCTAACCTTTCCTCATAGCTGGTCTCCTCCATGCCTCTTATCAGTTTAGTTGCCCTTCTCTGTACTTTCTCCAGTTCCCCAATGTTCTTTTTGTGAATTGGTGCCCAAAACTGAACTTCATATTCCCAGATGATGTCTTACTAATGATTTGTACAGGGGTAATATGATATCTCTCTCTCTGGAGTCTATACCTCTTAATACAAGAGAGGATTTTGCTCGCTTTAGAAACCACAGCTTGCATTGCATGCCATTATTAAACTTGTGATCTACCAGAACCCCCAGATCCTTCACCATTGATTCCCCCAGTTGTACTCCCCCCCCCCCCTAGTATGTATGATGCATGCATATTCTTAGCCCCCAAGTGCATAACCTTACATTTATCAACATTAAACCTTAAATACTAAGGCGTTTGTTATTTTTAAAACAAAATGCAGCAAATGATGAAAGCATGACCTCTGCTCTCCTCCAGCCTCTTGCCGCCACTTCCTGTCTATTCACACTCACTCCACCAGCTGCACATCATTGCTCTGTGCTGGCTTCACTGATAGTAACATCCTGGGACTAATCCATGCCAGGGGAGCATGTGACAGGGTGACAACACAGGGGTAAGATTAGGAGACAGTTGTCACCCCATAACAGGGGCGGACTGACAACTCATGGGGCCCCCAGGCAATAGGGGATCACGGGGCCCCCGTTTCCTTGCCCTAACTCAAAAAAGCCTATGAAAAAGGTACCAGGGGCATCTCATGGGGCCCCCTACTGACCCCGGGCCCTCGGGCAGTGCCTGAGATTCCAAAAGGTCAGTCTGCCCCTGCCCCATAGGAAGACTTGACCTTTCTGGCAGGTGTTACATTAATGAAGTCATCTTCTGAGATGACAAGAAGGGATTAAAGCTGATGTGGGATTTTAGTGGCTGGCTGTTCACCTACTATAACCAGAATGGGAGGCCAGCCTCATGGCCAGCACTGACAGAGGACACTGGTGACTCCCCAGGGGGAGTCCATGTACTGAGGGGACATCTGCTGGAGGCGTGTCCCTGGAGGAAGGCGGGGTCAGAATGCGTTCTAATAAGGACACATGGACACTATGTACAGAATGGAATGTCAGTCCAGCTGTCATGAGTCACACACAATGAAGGGTCTCCCCCACCACGTGCCCCACTATGATCAGCACACCAGGATAGAAGAGACAAGAATCAGAAAGACAAGAAACCGGCCATCCCAACTCCCCTCCCCCACACATTCCTCCTATGCACACACACCACAGGTACCTGAGGCCTGGACACGGCGCTGCCCGCGCTGGAATGAAGACGCTTCCGATTAGCACTGAAGGGCCCTGAAGACGTGTCTCCGCCCACCGCCTTCCCCACCCACAATCTTACTGGTTCCACCCAGTCCTACCCTGGCAACTCCCACCCTATCGCGAGCCACAAAGCTACCTAAAGCTCGCCTCGCTCCGCCCCCATGCCGGTCACAGCTTGATCCGATTGGTAGACGGACGGGTTATCCGCCGTAGAAAGCACGTGAAGGGAGAATGATCGTGCCAATAGGCGGGGATACCTTTATTTATGGGCGGGGGGTGAGCGTAGTCACTGTGCCGAGTGTAGGCGGAGCTCACATTAAGGGGGGGCTCAATAGTCAAGAGCTCCGGAAAGTCCTTACAGAGGGCAGGTCAGTGTCAATATTTGTCCTTGGCTGCAGGACAACTGATGGCTTCCATGTTCTATTATGTGTAGTCATTGTTCGTGTATCTGCTGAATACCTCCAGCAAAGGGAAGGGCAGGCAGTTGTATCTATGATGGACATAACAGAACCAATTCAGCCCCAAGCCTGTTCTGACATTCCTCTCCTACATGGAAAAATGATTTTTTTGCTAGAAAATTACTGAGAACCCCCAGACATTATATATTTTTAAACAGAGGCCCTAGAGAATAAAATGCAGTTTTTTATGTCAAACGGTATTTGCTCAGCAGTTTTTTCAAACACAATTTAAAATAAATACACTTTATCAACTTTCCTACAGGGCACTTATACCCCCTCCTGCCCAGGCAATTTCCAGCTTTCAGCCCTGTCGCAGGTCGAGTGACAATTGCGTGGTCATGCAACATTGTACCCATATGAAATTTTTATAATTTTTTTTTCACACAAAGAGATTTCTTTTAGTTGTATTTACGATGGGTGTTTTATTTTTTGTGCTATAAACAAAAAAAAAAAAGTTTTTCTTTGTTTCTATTATAACATTTTGCAAACAGGTAATTTTTCTCCTTCACTGATGTGCGTTATTGAGGCTAGATTGATGGGCAGCACTGATGGGCACTGATAGCAGTACTGATGGGTATTGATAGGCGGCACTGATGGGCACTTATAGGCAGCACAGATAGGCAGCATTGATGGGCACTGACTGGCGGCACTGCTGGGTGCTACTGCTGGGCAGCACTGATAAGTGGCACTGATGGGGGGCACTGCTGAGCACAAGTGGGTGGCACTGATGGGCACTGGTGGGTGACACTGGTGGATGGCACTGATGGGCACAGGTGGGTGGCACAGCTTGGCACTTGTGGGCGGCACTGCTGGGCACAGGTGGGTGGCACTGCAGGGCACTGATCATCAGTGCCGATCCGCCTCCAACAATTGCCGGTTAACAGCAGTACTTTCCTTAGGCTGTGACAGCCGATAACCGGCAACTGCATTTACCCGGTGATCTGCTGTGTCTTTGGACACAGCTGATCATGTGGTAAAAGGCCACTGTGATTGGTCTTTTACCACATCACATGATCAGCTGTGTCCGTAGGACACAGCAATCATGGAGATCACTGGGTGCGCACCCCTGGGGGCTCGCAGGAGGACGTCATATGATGCTCTCCCAGAACTGGACAACCACGCTGTAGCCATCATTCGGGCTATAGCGCAGTTGGCAAGTGGTTAAAGTGATATTAAAGGCTTGTTTGTTTTTTTTCAATACAAACATGTTTATACTTACCTGCTGTGTGTAGTGGTTTTGCCCCTGCCAGCACTCCTGGTCCCTTCCTTCTGTCTGGTGCCCCCATAGCAAGCAGCTGGCTATGGGGGCACCCGAGCAGGCACGCTCCTGAGCCGCGGCTCTGCATACCCATTCACACATAGAGCCACTGCTCGGCTCCACCCCCTCCCTCTCCTGATTGGCTCACTGACTGTGATTAGCACTTGCCAATGGCTCCCGCTGCTGCCTCAGCCAATCAGGAGTGAGAGTCCCTGGAGAACCAAGGCTCTCATAGATACCGCTGGATTGGAATGGGGCTCAGGTAAGTGTTGGGGGGGCTGCTGCACCCAGAAGGCTTTTTTTACCTTCATGCATAGAATGCATGAAGGTAAAAAACCTTGAGCCTTTAGAACCAAGAATTGCGTATGGATGCTGCATCTTCAGTGCACCTGAGCTCCCTCACAGACCTCACAAAGACAATGCAGTAGGCAGTGAGTTTTGTAGCTGGATGGGCGGAGCCTGAGAGACCCTAGTTCCCCATCAGCTCCACTCCCCCTGCGATTGACAGCAGGCTGTGGGCAGTTCCATAGCCAATAGACAGTCTGCTTTTGTCTACAGACTCCACCCACTTCCTTACTTCAGGCAGACTTGTTATTTTAAAGTGTCATTAAACTCAGGCTGTGAAAAACTCTCATTACATGTTACATAAGAGTGTGCATACTCACAATGCCACTACTAAAGCATTCATTTTGTGTGGAGTGAAATACACCTAATTGATCCTGCCTTCCGCTGTCTCTCCCATCTTCCCTGTGTCCCCATTGGAGTCTGAGATTGTGTAGACCAGCTGTTGACCTCTACTGATAATGCTCCAGTTTCAGTTCCCTTTTAAACTCTTCATTTTCTCCTTTTTCTTATCTGTGCAGTCCATATGACTAAAGAGTCACACATGTGGGTGTGTACACAGTGGTAAATGTCACACCCCCTCCTTCCTTCCTCCATGTACTCCCATTGCTAAACACTATGGGGGCAGGGTATAGTACGCTGATTACATTCACTAAGAAATGTACAAAAAATAATAGGTTTAATATAAATCAGTATTAAACATATCAAAAGTGATTGCTAATACCTAAAAAGTGAAAAAAAGACGCTTGAATGCAGATGCAATCTGAAGAAAATAAATGCCAGTGTAAATAATCTTTGACTCCACCTACACCCATAATAATGCACACAAAAATCCACATTTGATGTTCAATAAAGATTTATTGGAAGCTGTAAAACTGTTTTTTTATATTTATTTATATTCATTGAATTGCTCTTCTGAAGCATTTTTTTTGTGTCACGTGATTGGTACAGCACCAATCAGGGCTGGCCAGATACAGACTCGAACTGTAGTAATAGAAGCTCCTCTGAGTTATCTTTCTCTGCAGATGCCAAAGAACAGGGAAAGATCATGTGACCACACAACAGCGCTGCAGGAATAAGGTACTTAGAGGATTTAAAAAAACAAAAACAGAATACAATGTAATGATATATATATCTTATGTGAATGAGTTATGGCAATTAACACTTCTCTGTTTAGTATCACTTTAATTTGTTAGTCAAGGCCAGAGCATCTACAGTACCCTCTCCCAGGGGCGGACTGACCATTTGGAAACTCGGGCACTGCCCGAGGGCCCGGGGTCAGTAGGGGGCCCCATGAGATGCCCCTGGTACCTTTTTCATAGGCTTTTTTGAGTTTGGGCAAGGACACAGGGGCCCTATGATCCCCTATTGCCCGGGGGCCCCATGAGTTGTCAGTCCGCCCCTGCCCTCTCCCCAGATTGACAATGCTGCTGTCCAAAGGTGTCTCCATTGTTTCCAGTGGAGTGAAGACACCCTACAATACCCTAACCTGCATAACCAGGTGAAAATAAAGGAAAAAAAAAAAATCCTAAAAAAGAAAACAAATGCAGCCACCACATTTAACCAAGGTTCACACTAACCTGCATGGTAAAACAAATAGAATAGTTTGCAGTCCTTTATATGTACTATATAAATCTGTTTCAAAAAGACAACTTGAAAGATAAGAAATATTTGTTCAAATATTTTTTAGGTATGCTGTGTGAATGGGAACACATAAAAAACATAGTGGGGCTTTCTTAAATTTGACTGCAAACGTGGAAATACACTTTAAAGGGATGAGCTTGCCAAAACAGCATCAACACACTTCTGGGAGCATTGGGTGTCCAGTTCCTCTCTTCTGTTGTCTAAACAAATTTCCTTGTAATTGAATTGAATAGTTGGAATCTTCAGCATTCCACACTTCTGGGGAGTTTCAAATACCAAAGTTCCCTTTCCAAGCCCCATGGTCCCAACCTGACATGGGCCAACACAATGGTAAGGGAAATGTTATCTGGATTTGTTTAGGTGGCTTATGCTTCCTTGATATGTGTCTTTGGAAAACCTGTTTTTTTTACCCTTTAACTGTATGTTGTTTTATTAAGATGAATTAAAAGCAACTTTTAAAAAAGAAAGTTGAATTTAGACTGTTGGGTATGGCTATTCTATCTCAAACTATAGCTGAACAGGTCTCAACTATGACGAAAAGTTCTCATGATAAAGTTCAAACCCTCCAGACCCCCATGCACATAGTAGCTGTGATGCCCTGTGTTGACGGTGTAGTGGTCCACACACTGTACAAGGCAATATACAGCTCCAAAGTGAGTATCCATCATAGTGCTTTCAATGGCAAGCGCTCCTTGTTCAGCACGACCATGCTAACCATTGAGCGCTTGACATTGCAAGCACTATGATGGATACTCATTCCAGAACTGTGAATTGCAGTGTAAGGACCGCTACACCAGCAGTACAGGGTTTCACGGCCATTCAGTGCAGCAGGGTCCAGAAGGGTGGCCAGGATAGTTGGCGTTAGTTGACCTTTTCATTTTTCTTGAAAAGGTGAACTTACCCTTTAAATTTGCATTGTGATTGATGTGATAACTTCATGTCTGGCAATGTATGGAATATATATATATATATATATATATATATATATATATATACACACACACTATATTGACAAACGTATAGGGACACCCATCCAAATTATTGGACTCAAGTGTTCCAATCACCTCCATGGTCACAGGTGTATAAAAAGCAAGCACCTAGGCTTGCAGACTGCATCCACAAACATTTGTGAAAGAATGGGTCGCTCTCAGGAGCTCAGTGAAATCAAGTGTGGTACCGGATAGGTTGTCACCTGTGAAATAAGTCCAACCGTGATATTACCTTACTACTAAATATTCTACGGTCAACTGTTAGTGGTATTTTAACAAAGTGGAAGCTAGATTGTAAGCTCTAACGAGCAGGGCCCTCTGTTTCCTTTTGTACAAAACTGTATTGTAACTGTAATGTCTACCTTTGTTTTGTAAAGCGCTGCGCAAACTGTTGTTGATATATAAATTCTGTATAATAATAATAACTGGGAACAACATCAACTCAGCCAAGAAGTGGTAGGCCACGTAAAATGACAGAGCGGGGTCAGTGCATGCTGAAGAGCACAGTGTGCAGAAGTTGCCAACTGTCTGCAGAGTCAATAGCTAAAGACCTACAAACTTAGTGTGGCCTTCAAATTAGCACAACAACAGTGTGTAGAGAACTTCATGGAATGGGTTTCCATGGCCAAGCAGCGGCATCCAAGCCTTACACCACCAAGTGCAATGGAAAGCGCCAGATGCAGTGGTGTAAAGCATGCCATCACTGGACTCTAGAGCAGTGGAGACGTGTTCTCTGGAGTGACAAATCATGCTTCTCTGTCTGGCAATCCGATGGACATGTCTGGGTTTGGCAGTTGCCAGGAGAACGGTACTTGCTTGACTGCATTGTACCAAGTGTAAAGTATGGTGTGGGGTTGTTTTTCAGGGGTTGGGCTTGGCCCCTTAGTTCCAGTGAAGGGAACTTTTAAGGTGTCAGCATACCAAGACATTATGAACAATTTTATGCTCCCAACTTTGTGGGAACAGTTTCGGGATGGCCCCTTACTGTTCCCACATGACTGAGAAACCAGTGCACAAAGCAAGATCCATAAAGACATGGATGAGCAAGTTTGGGGTGGAGTAACTTGACTGGCCTGCAGAGAGTCCTGACCTCAGCTCGATAGAACACCTTTGGGATGAACTAGAACAGAGACTGTGAGCCAGGCCTTCTCGTCCGACATCAGTGCCTGACCTGAGAAATGCGCTTCTGGAAGAATGGTCAAACATTCCCATAGACACACTCCTAAACCTTGTGGACAGCCTTCCCAGACGTGTTGAAGCTGTTATAGCTGAAAAGGGTGGGCCAACTCAATATATATATGTGTGTGTTTTTTTTTTATTTAAACTCTTTGTGTAGAGGTAAAGACTTTAGTCTACTTTCATTTCCAGGAAAGGGATCTGACAATGAAGATTCTTCAGCCATTGTCTAAAGTTCTTCCTGTGATAGTCCCTGAACAGTTCTGAAGCTGTAAAAGAACATACAGAGAGAATGATCAAGTAGGAGATAGGAAAATAGAGGAGGGGTAGGTTGAGAACGGGGTGGGGGACATTAGAACAAAAAGAAGTAAAAGGAGAAAAGGTCATTTAAAGGAATGAATGAATGAGGGAAGGAAGGAAGGAAAAAAGGAAAGGGAGGGAATGGAATGGAATGGAACAAGCATGTAAACAAAGAGAGAAGAGGACTAAAGTCAGCCAATCATGGATCAGAATTTGTCTGGTTTGGCAGGGACTGGCTGAATTTCGATCCATGTATGGGCTAGCTGGTTCTACACAAGTTGATCTATGGATTGACTTGTTTACAAGCAGCCTGTCAGGTTTTTCCTGAACAATCACTGCTGCCAGCTATAAGGCTCCCCACCTACAGAATACAATAGCATTACAGGAGTAATTCCCTCATCTAATTCCCCCATCCACCTCAAATGTGTGAATGAAGGAATAAGATGATTTTTTTGAACAAAATAAAATGCTTCCTGTATGGCCAACCTAAGGCAGCCCATATATTAGTCTTTTTTTTTTCATTCAACAAGTGGGTTGAACAAAAAAAATATGACTCAATTCCCCCATCCACACACTCCATGGGGGAATTCACTGAGGTATTGTATTCTGACAGTGGGGGGGGGGGCCTTCCCCACCCTTAGTATACACTAATCAGTGCTGCCATCAGAAAACTCTGACAAGGCAGTTGTACAGAAGTTATTTGGTAGATCGACTTCTGTACAACCAGCCTGCCCATACATGGATCAAAATTCCCTGCTAAACCGACTGAATTTCAATCCATGTGGAACTTAAGATATGATATAGAAATGGGCCAGTACGCAGGATTTGCCATGCTTTGTCTCTTCTGCATTAATTACGTATCTGCCTTTCAGCCCCTGTACAGTGAGCCATGCACGTGCAGCTCACTGTAAAAATACACCAATAAAAACGGCCGGAGTTTGATACCCAGAAGCTGGCCACACAAAGATGCCAGCAGCTGACAGGAAGCTCCGGAAATCACATCACTGGAGCCAAGGTAAGTATAGTTCAACTTTAAGGTGCAAGCCTCAGAATGAATTCGGTGGATTCACTTCCCCATCCCTTTTGCCAAACCTTGACATTTTCCCAACAACAAAATGTGAATACAATCTTCTAGGATTGTTGTACTTTTGTATCTAAAGTATAAAAATACACAGCTGTTATTTTATTGCCAATCACTTAAGCACATTACAGTGTCTCCTGAACAGCATTAGTGGATCCTGATAGATTTTACTTCCAATTAGGGCATAGGTAGGTATGGGAAGATCAACAGTCTGCTGATGTGGAGGGGGGGGAACTGAACATGGTGGCATTTTTTTATTTGCTGAAGTTCACCTTTACGCCTCATGCACACTGGATATTGGGCCACCTTTCTTAGCCACCTTTCTTCTTGGCAGCAGTGTTTTGGTAGAAAAAATGTTTAACGCTTGTAAATGCATGTAATGCATTTAGGCACATTTAGGCATGACATGCTAATTCATTTAATTGGCCAGAATAATAGTTGACTCTGCTGACTAAAAGAAATTAACTCTCAATCGCTAAACGCGCCTAGAGTGTACATGTGTCAAACATTTTTTTTCTGCTCCTGGGTGCCTGGCAGTGGGGGGGTTTTTTTCTGCCTTTAACACCTTCCAATCTGCTATAGGGCAGGCAGGACACTTGCCGTTGTGACTAGATGTTATATGATGTCCTGTCAAAAGCAGCCGTTCACGTAGCCGCAGGCCGTGCAGCGGCGCGATCTGTCACCAGCTGTGTCCACGGGACACAGCCAATGACATATCACTACTCCGGCCCGTTGCCAGTGTCACATGACCGCTGTGACCAATCACAGCAGATCACATATCGATTGTATACAAAGGATGGCTTCTTGTCATACAGACAGGGCCAATCACAGCCCATCTGTATCATGTGATGAGTTTTGCACAGTCACAGCTAATCACAGCAAAAGAGTGAATCAATCAGTTTCATTCAGTAACAATGATTGCAAATATCAATGAAAAACATTGGTATTAGCAATCATAATCTGAAAAAAAAAAAATCCTGATCACTTGCTCACAGTAGTTCAATGTTACTATGGTAACATTGTATTGCTTTGGTCACAGTGTGCTGAAAAAAAATTGTAAAAAAAATTAAAAAAATTATGTAATAAAAAATAATAGAACATTTTGAAAATAAAAAAAAATGTAATTATTATTTTTTAATTTTTTTTACATACTGTCACCAGTCAGTGTCTCTGATCACCGCCACACCAGTTATATAATCATGCTGTACTGGACTAGTGACAAAAAAAACAAAATTGTGAGTTTTTTAATTTTTTAATTTCTACATTTTCCAAAAAACTGTAACAAAAAATTACAACCTCCAAAAAACTCACCATGCCTCTTACTAAATACCTTGGACTGTCTATTTTCCAAAAATGGGTGATTTGGGGGGTAGTTCATTGATCGATTGTCAGATATATATTCCTTGGCTTGTGGACTCTATAACTTTCCTACAGACTAAATAATATACACTAATTTGGGGTATTTTAACCAAATGTAGCTAAATACATTTTGACCTAAATTTATGAAGAAATTTTATTTATTTGCAAACTTTTATAACAAAAACGAAGAAAAAGGAGTTTTTTTTCAAAAGTTTCAGGTTTTTTTTGTTTATTTAGCAAAAAATAAAACACTCAGTGGTGATTAAATACCACCAAAAGAGAGCTCTATTTGTGTGAAAAAAAATTATAATTTTTTTTTATGGGTACAGTGTTGCATGACTGCGCAATTGTCATTCAAAGTGCGACACCACACTGAAAGCTGAAAATTGGCCTGGGCAGGAAGGGGGTAAAAGTGCCCGGTATTGAAGTGGTTAAGCACCTATGTGTGCACGGACACATAGGCTAACATGCAGGGTCATTTATTAACAGAAAAAATGCCAAATGTCCTTACTAGCATCATTACAAATGTCCAGTGTACATGAGGCCCACCCATGGTAAATCAACAAGTACTTTTAAAGGTGGCTCAACCAGCTGCACTTACTTGCCTTTCCTTTCCCACAGGAACAAGAAGGATAAGCCCTCTGTACACACTAATTTACAAATTACCTAAGGGCCGTGGACTCTTTTCCTACCCACTATGTGGTGGCACCAGGGGCGGACTGACCATTTGGAAACTCGGGCACTGCCCGAGGTCCCGGGGTCAGTAGGGGGCCCCATGAGATGCCCCTGCTACCTTTTTCATAGGCTTTTTTGAGTTTGGGCAAGGACACAGGGGCCCCATGATCCCCTATTGCCTGGGGGCCCCATCAGTTGTCAGTCCGCCCCTGGGTGGCACTGAGCACCTTAGTGGCCAATTGCAAATCACCAACATAGTCATATAGGAGGAAATGCAGAGAGTCACACACTCAGGTATACTGGGTTTTTGCCTTTGCTCTCTCTTCTGCTTCCAGAAAGGTGTCCCACTGGCCTAGTTAACATAGCTCATGATTAAGCCGTTATTAAGCCATGGGATGTGTGGCGCTTCTCCTGGAACACCCTCATTGCATCTACTGGTTACCTTTATATCCTCGGGCCAGCATTTGCATTGCTCTACACTTTCCAGCTAATTATTATTTTTTCCCCTACAACACTGATTATGCTAGGTAGTGTGGCATGTGTTTTATAAAGTGCGGCTCAGGGGCAAAATGGGACTTGCCAACCTGTCAAATTTTTCAATACGACATAACTACAGTCTTTATTCAACAACCTTGGGCAGCACAGTGGCTAAATGGTTAGCACTTCGGCCTGGCAGTACTGGGGTCGTTGGTTCAAATGTCAACCACAGCACCACCTGCCTGGAGTTTTCATGTTCTCCCTGTGCCTGCGTGGGTTTCCTCTGGGTACTCCGATTTCCTCCCACACTCCAAAGACATGCTGGTAGGTTTATTGGCTCCTGTCTAAATTGTCCCTAGTATGTGTATGTATGAATGTGAGTTAGGGACTTTAGATTGTACACCCCTTGAGGGTTAGGGACTGATGTGAATGCACAATATATGTATGTAAAGCACTGCGTAAATTGATGGCGATATAAGTACCTGAAATAAATAAATAAATAAACCTTGTCTTTATTTTTCTAATGCAACGACTTAACACAAAAAGAGTGTGATAGTTTGCATTGTATTTATAACACAATCGTACAAATCTCCTGTCTGATTTCTACAATTTTGTACTCAGTGAACAAGATTCAGGGTCTGTTCACACCACATGCAGTGCAGTGCTTTTTTTTCCTGCATCAAAAACACATGGAAAGTAAGTTATATGGGTTCCAATGGCATAGCTTACACCAGTGCAGTCAGTTCCAGGGTGTACAACATGTAGCATTTTTCCTGCACAGAACTGTACTGGAACGCGGTAAAATAGATAACAAATGCATCAATCATGCCCTGCACCCCAGTACAGTAGAAAAAAAAATCTGGAATGCAAACATAAACACATACAAAATGCAACAAACACACACCAGGATGCATCAAAAACAGATTAAAAATGTACATGCAGAAACACATCTGGAACAGATCTGGATGAAGTTTTTGTGGCGTGAATGGGCCCTTAAAGTGATTCTAAAGGTTGGAATTTGAAAAAAACAAAAAAACAAACATGTCATACTTACCTGCTTTGGCGATGGTTTTGCACAGAGCAGCCCCGTTTCTCTTCCTTCAGCTGATGCTTCTGCCCCTTCCCCCTTCTTGAGTGCCCCCAATTGCAAACCTCTTGCTATTGGGGCACTTGAGCAGGCTTGCTCCCAAGCCACGCTCCTGTGAATGGACATTGTCCATTCACACACAGAGCGAAGCTGTTCCCCGCCCGTTCTCTTCTTATTGGTATACTGACTGTGATTGACAGATCCCACTGCTGTGTGAGCCAATGAGGTGAGAAAGACCCAGGAGAGCTGCAGCTCTCATGCACAGATGGGGTTCAGGTAATTATAAGGATGACTGAGGGGGAGCTGCATCCAGAAGTTTTTTTTTACGTTAAAGTGATAGTAAAGCCTTTTTTCTTTTTAAAATAACAAACATGTCATACTTACCTGTTCTGTGCAGTGGTTTTGCACAGAGCAGCCCCGATGCTCCTCTTCTCGGGTCCCCCGCCTGTGATTCTGGCTCCTCCCCCTGAGCAGTGCCCCCATAGCAAGCCGTTTGCTATGGGGGCACTGGTACATGCTCGTCCCCAAGCCTCCATAAGACACAGTAGAGCAGGACTTGGTCCCGCTTTCTCCTCACAGGCTGTGATTGACAGCAGCAGGAGCCAATGGCTCCCGCTGCTGTGTTTCAGCCAATGAGCAGGGAGAGATCCGGAAAAGCTGAGGCTCCTGTGCATGTCGCTGGACCAAGATCAGGTTTTTACCTTCATGCATACATTGCCTTTAGAACCACTTTAATGCATAAAATGCATTAAGGTAATAAACCATTTGTCATTAGAAGCACTTTAAGATCTATATAACAGCAAAGAAACTAATGACAGTAAAATTACATTCACATTAATTGGTAAAGCAACTGTCACGAACTACGATGAGAATGATCACCAATGGTCAATGCTGGGACCAGGTCATCTAGTGTCCAAGGCAAAAGTAGCAAACCATCCATCCCCCCCCCCAAGTGGGATGATGTCACTGGAAGGAAAGCTTACCCTTTTGCCCCTACGTCCGTGTTGTCACTTACAGTAAAAAGATCCCTGCAATGGTGGTGTCGGTAAAAGAAAAAATGTCACTGTGTTGGTAGTGGCACTTGAAGGACCCCACAGACTCAGCCCTGAGGTGAGGGGCTAGTCCTGGGGGTCTTCCATTGCTTAGGGGTAAGGGGATGCTGCAAGAAGAATCAAGGCAAAAGGTAGATTTTACAGAGTACTGCTTAGGCACAATTAACATTTCTAGATGATCCCAATAATATGGAAAAATTCACTTTTTTAATTTAGGTCTTCTTTAACCTCTGTCCGGGCCTCTGTACTAACAGGAAGTGCTGTGACGGTACGTCACTTCTAGTGTAAACATACTGTAAAAAAAGACTTCTGAGCTTCTCCAGCACTATATAACAGAACTGACGGCACAGGTATGGCCATAAATAAGTGTATTAAACCACACCCCCCTACACAAAGAGCCCCTATGACTGTCTATTATATCCATCCACCCTGGAAGTCAGCAATAATATACACAGTATCCGGTCACCCTACATATAACAGTTTCAGTCCCTGTGAATATAAATCAATGTTCAATATGTTGGTTATTATTAGAGGTCCATGCGCCTTATTTAGATCTTCATATAGTCCCCAGTACTTGGTGCTCCTTGAAAACTTTGTGTACAGCAAACCAATTCGTCCTCTTCTATTCAAAATACCTCGAAACAAATAAACTTAACATAGTGCATTATCCTTAAATGTAAGTATAATAGGTGCGTGTTCATTATAATCCATGTCCCTGTGATTCATTCATAAATACTTTCCCTAACCAAAATTAATAAGCAATACTTAATACTCCACACTCCTCATACACAGTGAGTATGTGCCACGCCACACTCTAAATAGTGACTATACAGTGAGTATGTGTCACACCACACTATGAAAAATGATAAAGTGCAATCAATCCGGTGTGTCTCCTGTCAATCCATGTACCTTACTGAATCAACAGGTAGTGTAGGCTAAGTCAATCATATACAGTGCTCCAGGACACTGCTGCCCCTACAAGGTCAGCTATTATTCCTGTGATGTGAACTGGTGCCACGCCAAACCTCAAAAAGTGGTCAATATCCTCCGTGGTTTAATTATTAAAGCACCTGTCAACCGATATACCTTACCAGAAGACAGGTAATGCAAGCTTGACGCAGACCCAATAATCACTCCAGGCTCTTATAACCAATGCTCCAAATCAGAGATGAAAATAGTGCAAAAACTGCTCTTCCAAGGACAGCGTTATGAGTCAAGCTTGCATTACCTGTCTTCTGGTAAGGTGTATCGGTAGACAGGTGCTTATGTAGAAGGTCTCTGCCAAAGAATAGAAATAGCAGGGGAAGCCTCAGCAGTCCTACTCAGTTATTTTTTAGTAGCCCGGAGGGTGGTGGTGTTTTATTTTCAATCAGGAGGCCTGTGTAGGGCTGCTAAGTATTATTTGTCTGAAAGAACCCCTAACCTAGGGCTACACTGGCAGTTAAATCTCTCTGCTACTGATATTGCTATAAATGAGGTGACTGACAACACGTACTGTAGTTAAAGTGGTTCTAAAGGCAGAAGGTTTTTACCTTAATGCATTAAGGTAAGGAAAACTGAAAATTTAATTCCAATACTTACCGTAATTTGTCTTTCCTGACGAGCTCCATGTCAGCACAGCTGGGTGAGGCCCCCGCCTACCCCCTGCGTGATCAGGACATAACTCAATACATTTTTGATCCACCTTAGCCTAGGCAATCTGTAACTTGTACTACTAAACTGGGTGGGATTTGTGCTGCCATGGAGCTTGTCAGGAAAGGAAAATTACAATAAGTATTTGAATTCAATTTTCCGTTTTCCTGACGGCTCCATGTCAGCACAGCTGGGATTTAACTAGCCACACATGGGAGGGTAATGCAAAAACAATGTAATTTCGCCTGGAAGCAAAGGCTAAGATACTCCTGCCAAAATCAGCAGTAGTCAAAGCCGCAGGTTCTATATAATAACAAGTCATGAAGTATGAACAGAAGACCATGTAGCCGCTTTGCAGATTGTTTCCAGGGAAACTTGGCCCACTGCTGCCCATGAGGTTGAAACCCCTATAGTGGAATGCGCTGTGACCCCCTCAGGCACAGGCAAGCCTCTCCCTCTGTAAGGTAAAGAGATGGTCTTGACCAACCAAGTAGCAATTACTCTACTAGAAGCCCTCGAGCCTTTCCGTACACCATTAGGGTTGGTGAAAGGATGCTCTGACTTCTTGAGCTCGGACGTAGCGTCCACATAATCTCTCAATGAGCGCCCGACATCCAAAGGACTTGGGTCCTGGGAATTTTCTGAAAGGAGCATCAGGAGTGTAATGTCTTGTGTCATGTAAACATAGAGGCAACTTTGGGTATGAATTCTAGCATCGGTCTAAGCACGACCCTATCAGGAAAGAACAACAGAAAAGGTTCTTTAAACCCTAAGGCTGCCAATTCTGAGACTCTTCTGGCAGATGTTATCACCACGAGAAGCACTGCTTTCAGAGTAAGATGCCATAGTGAAACAGGATGACTAAAGGTGTCTGATGAGAGGAAATCCAACACCAGTGGCAAGTCCCATTCCCAAAGGGTGGGCCAACTCAATATTGAACCCACTCTGCAGTCATGTATACATGGATTTGTGCTGCTTTAGTTTGGGGTTCAAGCATGCAGTGAGGAGGCAAAAAACATCCTCCCCACCTGTCAAATACTCTCTAAAGAGAGACTTGAACAGGGATCGCTCTTCAGAGAGCAACACTAGTGTGAACCAGCACAAAGAACTTAAAAAAAAAGGGCTACCTCCAATCTGTCCACTAGATGGCGCTCCAGGCGGATGACTAGTTCCAGTGTATAGCGCAATCGGGCGGAGCCAGGAGAGCACGCTGCGTCCCTCACTCCAACAGGCGGGCCTCAGGGCTTCTCACTGCGCATGCCCACACAGCGTCATGGGGCCGCGCCGCCCCTATATGAAGCAAGCGAGGCGCTGACTCGTTCCTTTTCACTCCCCACCCTTAGCCGGAGCTGAAGCTCCTTTACGCCTCTCCGGGCCGCCGACTCCCTATTCACAGGCACCATGCGCATCTACAAGTGTGTCCTCTGCGGTAAGTGAACGATCTCCGATAGGTGCTGGCCACTGCTATTGGCTAGGTTACTGTATGGGCAGCTGTTGTGGGGGCTCGAGCTATAGAAGGCGCGCGGCCCATCCCGCACACCTTTCGTTGCTAGAATATTCCATCTGCCGGGGGGGGCGCATGCTGCGTTGTGTCCGCATAGACGATGCTGTGTTCTTTGACGCCCACACACAGGGCCCTATAGGGAGTTAGTGCGGTTCAGCCGCATGGTGGTCACATTTTTATTGGTCCGGCCTGGATCCGCCGCGTGTCGGGCGGAAAACTGCACGCAGCCGACTGCTTTTTGTGCGTCATCCTGGGCGGGAAGCTGCGGCTGCCGGGTGGGGGGAGGGGCGTCACCAGGCAGATTAGGAACGGGGGAGGCGGGACCGTGGAGAACTTTCTGATGACGTAGCAACTAGTCTTAGTTTACTGAACTCCGGTGTGTAAGTTGAGGCAGGGCGGCGTGCTGCTGTACCACGTGATCAGGATACCGGAGCCCTGGCGTAAAGAGTGAAGGGACCGCCCCTACAAGTTAGCAGTCTCGGGAGGCGGTGCTGGCAAACCAGCGGGCGGGACTTCCCCACAGGATGGCATTCAGGGACAAGGCCTGAGCCTGCAGGATGTCGGCATGTCTACTGCAGGCCTGGCAGAGCGTGCACTACTTCCGGTGTGTGGGGCTGGCTGTGTATTTGTAGGTAGTGGAAAGGGTTCCCTATTCCTATCACACGAGGGCCGCTCCACATTTCCTAGCTTCTGTATATCAGGCCTGCCATGGGGGCTGGGAGCAGCATCTGACTTTACAGGGATAGTTCACCTTTACTGCACAAAGCTAGGAGGCACCTGAGTGTAGAAACAAGCCGCAGCTTATGTGAAGCCTGGCTAGAGAACTCCCAGGATGCTCAGAAGCCCTTCTGTTAATGTTCCTTCATAGGAATGTGTGTGAACACTGAGCTCAGACTTGCTGCATCAGGGCAGTGGGCATGTGATCAGGAAGTGCTCACCCTGTGAAGGAGTGGGTATGACTAGTCCTGAGAGGTTTCCAGTCAGGCTTCATGGCCTACACCAATAGAAAGGGCATTCATCTTTGGTTGGAGCTGTACTTTGCTTTTCTACAACCTGTATAGGCAGGTGAGCTATGACCAGTTGCCTGCCTTCAGCGTCCATAAACTCTCCTCCTCTGTATGTCCAGGAGACTGCTTGTAGCTTCCCTGCTCCCTACTGTGCATGGCCTGGTGACTAGATTGGCTCCCACTCCTACAACTGGGAGCCAATCAGAAGTCTTCCTTCATTGAATGATTACTATGACAGACGATCTGTGATCAACATTTTATAAACAAGTAACACACAAGCTCTTACAGTATGAGCCTCCTGTGCTACTAAATGAGCAATGTCATAGAACAGGGGGGCTGCTAGTACCCAACCATATACCTAATGGATACTAAAGTGGACAAATATGTACACCAGTTTATATATATATATATTTGGCCACACAAGCTGTCTGATTGCCGCAGTTTCCTGACACAGCAATCTGAGCGCTGCAGCTAACGCAAGAATGGTTACGAGTTAACTCTTAACCCAACCCAGGCATGTTCTTTAACCTTTATTTTGCTACGTAACCCATTAATTTTGGTAAATTACTATGTATAAGCACTATTAAAGTTTCCCCTTTTCCCAGTTAAAATTTTAAGTTTATTGGAAAATATATTCTAAAGCAGGGCTTGATAAATTAGTTGCCAGGATGCCATGGTAACTGGAAATTGCATATTAGAAAAAGATGTCTGCAAAAAAGTGGCATTTTGGATCCAATGCAGAGTAATCAAAGAACATCAATAGTAGATGCAAATTTTCTTATGATTACTAGGATCCTGTGAAATTTGTGCCTGAGTTCACTGTCCCATTGATTTCAGCTCAAAATTGTATCCTGTTGACTTTAATGCAAAAACTTGTCAGCAGCAATCTTCTGTATACACTTGCCTCTACTTGCACAGGACTCTTCAATGTATGAACCAGGGCGGCTCCATTCACACCTGGGCATTTTGGAGTTGCGGCAGAATCGCTGTGATCACAAAATGCAGGCATGGGTTCCATTATTTTCAATGGCACTTAAAATATGGTGAGGTTTTGCTGTAATTGTGTGGCAAATGGCATCGCATGAAGCTAGTCACCCAAAAGTTGCCTTGCCCCAGGCACTGACAACACACTACAGTAAAAACCTGCCTACTAACTTAGCTGGCTCCTAGATTCATAGTATATTCATAAAGCCCTGTTATACATCAGTCTCTTTAAGGGTTTGCTGTTTAAAATAAGTGGTTTAGGGTTAGTTTTATTTTAAATTGGTTATAACTTTACATTTCTGATGCTTTATGAGAAAATGGAAATGTGTGCAAAATGGAAACTCTTTTGTAAACATGCTTTGTACCAAAAATGTAATTTTTAATGTTGCAGTAAACAAAACAAGCAGCAGAATAGAATGTTTCCCCACAGTAATGGTACTTGTGTTCAAAAGAATACTGATCAAACTTGAGAATGTTATACTTTCCTGTTCTGTGTAATGGTTTTGCACACACCAGCTTCAACCCTCTTCTGGGGTCCCCTTTCGGCCCTCCTAGCTTCCCAACCCCTGCCAAGCACCCACTATAGCAGTCTGCTGTCTGTTCCCAAGTTTGCTGTGTATCCATAGATGTAGAGTGCATGACTTGTCCTCGCAGCTTTTCCTCACTGGCAGTTGATAACGGCAGCAGGAGCCAATCCTGTCCTGAGCCTATGAGGGAGAGAGCCACTGGCTCCCATGCACATCACTGGATCACGATTCGGGGGGGGGGGGTCAGCACATATAACCAGGTAAAAAAACTTCAGCATTAGAACCTTTTTTAAATGTTGTGGGTTAAAGAGGCTTTCTGGTGGCTCCTTTTTTATTAGATCAGTCTGCTGAGTAGAGGGGCACTTGTGTCTTAGTGTTTTGCTTGAGACCATTTTGTACCAGTAGGCGGGTGGCTATACTTTGAATAATGCATGTCTGCTGGTGATTGTTATGTGGGGGTGGTGTGATGCACTGTACATATTGCTCTTTCCATTTTTCCCCATCTTTGTCCCATTGCTGATACCCTTAGATTCTCGCACTTCAGAGACATTTCCTTACTTCCTGTTTTGGCTATAGGATGGGAAGTGATGAAATCCCTTGTCACCAGATCTATTGTCCCCATTGGAAGACTTCATCGCTAATGTGGTTTGATGAAAAACCTGCAACTTTGGGGGAGGAACTAACCCCCCCCTCCCCCACATCCCCCCTCAAAGGAAAAAAAAATCCCAGAATGACACCAGAAGAGTAATAAATGGGAAATTTCCCAATGGGAACACTCATTCTGGTGACAAGGGATTTTCTCACTTTCTGTTGGCTATGGGCAGGAAGTGTAAGGGGAAATATCCACAATGACAAAATATCCACATGTGGCAAACTGTCAGGGGCTAGTCATCCTGTATTTTACCCAAGATGGATACATAAACAAAAGCTTTGCAAAGGTGTTATGCTAACCTTGAACAGTCATTACAAGATATGTGGTGTTTATTTTAGGAGATGAAATGTTCTCTGACATCTACCCAACAAAAGAAATCTGCAACGGGCTGTGTATTGAAGTTGATGGAAAGGTGAGTGTTCTGAGAAGGGGCCTGGCTCTGTAAGAGGCTTAAAGCAGAACTTCATGCTCTAAACATTTTTTTTTTTTTTAATCTTTATGCTACTGGCTTTAGTAAATGGATAGGAAAGTACATCATATTTCCTTAAACTTGTTTTAAATTTCTTCAGGTACTTCCTATTTTCCAGGCCTAGGCAAATGATGTCATACATCCCAGATGCCTTTAGTAGGGGAGGAGGGGTTTTCTCAGCTAAGCACTCTCCCACTTGCATGCCTGAGCTAAGGCCAGGTGGAGCCCAGGAAGTAAATGCTACATGAATCATCTGCCCTTTTTCAAGATGGCCAGTCAGAAATGCTAACGGGCGTTTTTCATGGTGATTTCTCAGCAAAATAAAGCTTGGAGGCAGATGTATGGGAGTGTGCTTTGAATACAAATTAAATTATGCTCTGTTTTGCTCAGGTGCAGTGTAGCTCCACTTAAATAAACTGGAACAGTCAATTGAGCATACCATGCTACCCGATTTCTAGGCCACATACATGTACAAGGACTTCTCGGTGTGACTATGCTGACTGGAGCAGTTTCCAGGTCATATAAGGCTGCGTTCACACTATTAGTTTTTTTTTATTTTTTATTTTTTTGTGGCCAGATTTAGGCACTGACTGCCTATTTGGACTTCTGTACCTGCTAGAAATGTATTTCTAAAATTGCAGTTGCAAGTACTCTGTATATTGCTCTTCATTTCCCAGTATAGGAAACTAGTTGCTGTCTCCAGTGTGTAGTGTCATTAAGAGTTAATGGCACACATGCACATCTGCCAACAGCAGTGCGTTTTGGATGTGGGAAAGTGTCTGAATTAGTCCTGTACATGTGAACCCAGCCTAAGGTGTATTGGCAAGAGTGTCACTGGCAGTATCAATTTTACTTTTGTAGTAATGTAGTGACGTGTTCCAGACTATATTGAGGTAACCTTTTTTTTTTTTTTCTCCCCAGACTGTCACACGAAGAGAAGGTGACATTGATGATGCTCTTATTGGTGGAAATGCATCTGCTGAGTGCCTGGATGAAGGAGCTGACGGTGTGACAGTATCAGGAGTTGATATTGTGATGAATCACAAACTTCAGGAAACTAGCTTTTCAAAGGAAGCATTCAAACGATATATTAAGGACTATATGAAAGCGTAAGTGTATCATTCAGATTGTGGACATCAATGTTTTGGGGTTATAGAAATCTTAAGACCATGAGAAGCAATCTCGTCACCGAAATGACAGTGAAGCTGCTTTAGGCAGTCATGGCCCTCAGAGCCTTAAACCTTTGCAGAATGTTTGCTTGTACTGTGTGGCTTCCATATTTAAGGTGAGCAATGGAGAAAAGTGGTATCGTACATGTGAAAGTTACACTACCCTCTTATTGACAGTGCTGCTGTCTAAAAGGCTTAGTTTCTCATTGCCTGAAGGCCAGATCGCCAGGTGAAAATAAAAGCCTAAAAGGAAACCAATGCACTCACCATTTTTAAAGCGATATTAAACCCAAAAGAACTCTTACCGCAGCTTACCAATTTTTAAGCCTGGTAAACATGGGCCAAATTGTCTGGTTCAACAAACTGGCTGACATTCAGCCCATGTGTACAGCAGCTTGTCCTACAGGAGTCAGATGAACATTCAACTTCTGTAGAACAGGCATGCTAGAAAAACATGCTGATCAGCCTAAGAATTAGAAAAGAAAAACACAAAAAGTGCTGAAGTACATCTAACAACTTGACTGCTGTTTTTTTAATCTGTTTAAACTTTGGTAGTGACAATGATGACTATTGTAAGTCACCTCTTTTGGATGATCTCTTCCTATTAAACCGTATTAAGTATGGTGTGGTTTTTTTTTTTTTTTTTTTTTTTTTCTGCTATAGAATTAAATGTCATCTTGAAAAGAATAATCCTGAAAGGGTGCAGCTTTTTATGACTGGAGCAGCAGAAAAAATCAAATCACTTCTTGCAAACTTCAAGGACTTGCAGGTGTGTGAACAGACTGATATCAACGTTTAGGCTATGTATTGGGCTGTTTTATCAAAATGCTGACTTGGCTGCTCTTCAGTTTTTCACAGGAGAGTCAATGGACCCAGATGGTATGGTGGGCTTTTTGGATTACCGTGAGGATGGTATAACACCCTTCATGACCTTCTTCTTAGATGGCTTGGAAATTGAAAAATGTGTAAGTTGATAAGTTTTTTATGTTGCATGCTTCACTGTAAAGTGATTATTTTATGAAACTGTTGTTGGGATTGTTCAGAGGGAAAGTAGAGTATTAAGAGTGGAGTCACTTGGCTAAGGGCTTGATTACACATGCCTTCACTTGCAGCCAGGAGTTCTTTACAGAGCTGTGCTGCCATGGATGTTCTAGTAGCAGCGAAGGATACAGACATAGGCCTTTTTTTTTTTTTGCACACAGGAGTCTGCTGGTCGTGTACTGTAGAGGGGATGAACACTGTTACAGGTGGAAAGTTAACATTGTGATGTCTCCACACTTGTGCTCAATTTGGATACAAATGCCTCTGCTGTGGTTGCAGATGGGACTTGTAGTCTTTCCATTCACAGATCCCTGGGATGAGGCTTTGTGGGCAGTGCTACATAGTTGTACTGAATGCAAAACAAAATGGGTGTGTGCAGGGAGAACTTTTCAGGCCAGAGGATGGGGGACATTGAGAGCTTTATTTACTAAAGCTGGAGTGGCTACCATACACATCTGCAGCAGATTTTGCAATCCGCTTCTAATGTCGGTTTGTTCAATTAAGCTTTGGGGAAAAAATAAAACTGGTTTTTATGCGGAGCTGCTCAAGATTTTCCACTCCAGGTTTTAAATTAATTTTTTTTAGTAAATTAACCTGAGTGTTGCACCCTGAATATGGATGAAACCTGGCCAGGAAGGTGACTGTAAACTGTTGAAAAATGGGACTTGTTGAAATTTTAACAGCTCAAATACCAGTGAATAACACTAAATGGTGCAAAGATGTGGTATACTGCCAGAGATTAGGAATATACACTTCCAAGATAGACCTTTTTCAGGAAAATACTGTTAACTGTTCTGCAGTGGAAGTTTTTTTTTTAACATTTAGTACCAGTTTACACCACTCTGTTCCAGTCTGTTTTTATGTGTTCCAGTACAGTTGTGTGGTGAGGGTTTTTTAATTGGCACTCTGCTTTAAGACTTGGTTTGCTGACAGTTTCTACAGGTGTCCCAACTTTGATTACTTAAAAGCTTTGTATAAGAGCAGTGTTGAAACACTTAACACCCTCTTAACCCTTTCCTGCCACCACCTTCTGGCCCTTTTTTAGCGCTTTCTAAATGCTGGGGGGCAAGCTTTCCAGTTAACTGCTGTGAAATGGCTCACAGCAGTCACATGATCAGCAAGTACCCAATCAAAGGTAGACATCAGGGGCTTTCTGGTCTTTGCCAGTAACTGCTGGGAGCACAGTGTGTGCGCGCTCAGCACAGCAATATTTACGTTTGGGATGCATCTATGTGGCCCTCTTGGTGGTAAAGCTCACCCATAGAAGCTGCATACAGCTGCTGGGAACCGGCTAAGCAATTTGTTTGGATCCTATACTGCAGGCCAAACTGTCAGTGAGTGGCTACTTTTAACAATGTAATCTAAATTTTGCACTCAAGAAAATCAAACCATGATATTTGTCAAACTTCTATGCTTTACTTTCAACCAAAATTTATGCAGTTTAATGTCTTGCTCTAACCTAAAATAGGTGTGTTCATAAATGGTTTTTGGCCAGCAGTGTGGCTTACACTTCACTTAGAGCTGTCTGGTGTGCAGCTTTCCAGCAGCAATGCTTACACTGGGATGATATTCAAATGCAGATGCTCACTGTTTTGTTTGGAACAGAGAAGCATTTTAGCTGGGCTCTTGGCAAAGATGACTTTGCTACTGCCCAAAGCAGTGTGAGCCAGCCTTACTGGAAAGGGTTTGTGGGAGTGTTCGTCAAGAGGTGAAGGCCTAGCGCAGCCTTTTTCAACAGGATTCAGTTGATCCCCCTGTGAGGCCAGCTAAGGGATGTGAAGGCTACATTAGTGTTTTGAGCTTTCTTTTTATTTCACCTGGTGATCCTGCCAGGAAGTCTGTTTCAACAGTACAAGCTGTGATGCAGATGTAATAGTTGAGACATACCTTTCACTGACAAATGCTGACCATTGTAAGCACCAATGTAAAGCTTTCTCCAAAAGGGGGGAGGTTGTTGTAACCGTATCTAAATCAGCTGGATTCTTCCAGTTAGCACTTTAGACACAAACTGAAGTCGGTCATCCATCCCACCCTCCCACAGAGACAGACTGCTGCTGTCCTAAGGTCTCTGTGCTCCTTCATCCAGAGTGTAGGCCCTTTAACTCAGGAGGTGACACTGGCCTGATCACCAGGTGAAAAGAGAAATAATGCAGCCACCAAATATAGGGAATAATATGCTGTAATGTATTTCACTCGCCACTTTTCTAAGAGGCAACTGATTACCAGTGTGAATGAAATTGACTTCCAATGTCAGGAGTTGGATTTTTTGTGTGTATGTGGGGGGTGAGTTTTCCTGGACATTCTTTCATTTTGTTAATGTGTATGTATTTGAGGTGGCTGAAATCAGCTCTGGGTGTCTTACTAAATGGAGTTTGAGAACTTTCAGAAAAGGTCACTCTATAAGCTTGTTTTCAAAAGGGTAGGCAGTATTCTAGTAGTGTCACCAGGATATATGATCTGTATCAAAGCTCTGGTATATGCCACTTGTGCACATAAATAACAGACCATTTAACCCTTCCCAAATCTGTTCTGCGCATTGGTGGCAGCCACACATTGGCATTTTGGTCAGTCCCTGCTAAGCCAGGTGAATATCCAAATGTTAAGGTCCGCTTAAACAATCAGTTAACGCTTTGAAAGGGAAGGAGAATTGTGCCTAGTGTTTGGCTTTTGAATGAAGCAGTTCAATAGACCATTTTATAACTTGGGCTATTAGCCCTATGCAGTCTAAGAACCTGTGCTCAGTCTATTGGCAGATGCTTAGAGGCTTGTATTCATATTACCGCTTCCTTTAACATAGGATAAGCTTAGTTGCTTACAGGCACTTGACAAAGGCCACTGGCTTTTCTGAAGGATAAAATCATGCATCTATTGATAGACCATAAGCTGCATTCTATTGCCCTATGGTTTGCACTGAGATGCTATAGAAACCTCCTTGCGCTTTCTGTCTGGCAGACTCAGTAGCTTGAGCAGATTGAATAGAGGAGTACACTACACTTTACAAATGTCTATGAAATTTGAGTTCCAAACTTGGGAGCTGCTGTAATTCCTAACAACTTTGTTTTCTCTTTTGTAGTAACTTGGACTGTTTGATGCAACCAACTGCTGCTGATCTCCATTCATACCACACCAGGATTAAAGTCTTGACCAACTCAAACTGGACTTATCAAGCTTCATTTATTTCCACCCTAAATTATTGGAGTGGAGACCTATTTTAAACTTTTTTTTGTCATTTAGTCCAAATAAAATGATCATACTCCACTCTAGTTAATGCTTTGTGCATTCCTTCCTATTTGCATGTCAAACTACAACTGTGCCTGTTGCCACTAGTTTGCACACAAGTGGACTGGTCTGCTACAGTTCTAGGAATGGATTGCAACTAACCTCAGGCTTCCTCATCTAGCTGCTGAATGCTGTAGCTGTACGGCACTCAAGAAGCCAAATCATTATCACTCTGAAGTGCCTACAGCCTATGAAAATAAAATCAACATTATGTGATACGAAAACAGCTATATTTTTTATTGGGAAGACTCCACGGGTGTGTTTTTGGGTTTTGTGTTTTTAGGGTAAATGCAACTTAAATAAACTGTATCCCCTGTTACTGTCAAATTGTGAAAGTCATTGGAGACTTTTCAGGGAAGCTGTGTAATATGAACTCTGGCCAGTGTTTTTTGGTCTGAATTTCCATTTTACAATTTGAAGGGGTGTGATCGTGCCCTCCAGGAGGTCGTCAGTTTTGCTAATATGAAATGCCATGTTTGGCAATGCTTAGTGGTTCTCTGCACTGAAGGGTTTTCGTCCTAATCAATTAGGCTGGCCATACATTATACAATTATCTGCAGATTTTCTGCCCAATTTCCTTTAGATTTACCTTCAACTATGTAGTGCAAGGGCCTGCCTAATTGGATACAACTGAAAGTTGTTTAGGTTTGTCCTCCTATTATATGGTTTTTGGTAAATCTAAACCAAAAATCTGCAGATAATTGTATAATGTATGGCCAGCCTTAGGGTAAAAACTGAGTGTAGCTCCCAGCCCCTGTGTACTTGCCTGATCTTGATCTGATGCTATGAATGCAAGCAGGGTCTCTATGCTTGCTCCCTCCTCATAGGCTCAGACAGCAGCAGGAGCCATGAGCTCTCAGTAGCAGCCAGTGAGAAGGTGGGGCAGGGCTGTACTGTACTCTGCATCAATGGACACAGACCATGGCTTGGGAGCAGGCACTTGGCAGGAGGGAGGTGCCAGGAGCAGCAGCTGGGGACCTAGAAGTGGTTCTGGGCTGCATAAAACCAATGCACAGAGCAGGTAAGTATGGCCTGTTAATATGGGTTTACTATACACTTTTAACACATCTCTAAAGCCTAAATTTCAGAAGCAGTGTGGCTATGAAACAGAATCTACTCCACTGCTAGTGCCTTAAAGTGGTTAAACTTATAACAAGTAATATATTGCAGCTTAACACTTCATAGGTGTCACACATTGGAATCCCTGTCTGTGGTAAATGGATTGTCTCAGCCTAACTGATACACCTGCAGAATAGCTTTCTGTTGGAAAAACACTTATTGGCAGGAACACTATTTACTAAACAAGACAATTTTATATTCTTCCCAAAAACTTTACTATAAAACATCCAATAATTCAATTTTAGGCCAAAATGTGTTCTACATGTCTTTGCTGAGAAAATAAATCACTACATGTAAATTGATTTACATGAGAGCCTCTATAAATGGTGTATATATTGGAATTTTTTTATACTGGTAATGGTGGCGATCAGCAAACTACAGCAGGACTTTAGCGGGCATACTGTCACACCCAATGATCAGTGCTAATGGCACTAGGTAGGAATGGGTTAACATCTGGGGCTATCAAAGGGTTAACTGTAAGCATACTACTTTATATGGCTCTGCTATGCAGAGCCATACAAAGCTTGCTGGAACT